AGGAGGGGGAGGAGGAGGAGGAGGGGGAGGAGAAGGAGAAGGAGAAGAAGAAGGCAAGGGAGAAGGAGGAGGAGAAGAAGGAAAAGGAGAAGGAGAAGAAGGAGAAGAAGGAGAGAGGGGAGGAGGTGGTGGTTGTAGTGGTGGTGGTGGTGGTATTGGTGGCAGTGGTGGAGGAGGAGGGGGAAGAAGAGGAGGAAGAAGCAAAGAAAGAGGCAGAGGGGGAGGAGGAGGCGGAAGAAGCAGAGAAGAAGGAGGAAGGGGAGGAGGACGACAACGACGACGACGAGAAGAAGGAGGAAGTGGAGGAGGTGGAGGTGGGGGTGGCCAAGAGCAGCGGTCGCGCCACGTCATATTCAGTTTTTCTACGTTTGCTTAGGTAAAGTTAGGTCAGGTTGCGCTGGGATATCTACGGCTTTTGTGCTATTCACTGCAATACGGTGGATTTCTTTGCTCAACTGTGCTCTAGTACATTCTGCTTGTATCTGTGGAGGCCAGCAATGGTGGTTGAGGAGGGAAAGGAGGAGGAGGAGGAGGAGGAGGAGGAGGAGAAGGGAGAGGAAGAGGAAGAGGAAGAGAAAACAGAAACTGACGAAGCGTATAAATTTTTAATCGAGGCGAGATAAGAATAAGGAAAAAAGGGAAAGGATCAAAGGATAGCGAGTAACCTTTGCCCGAAGAAGAAGAAGAAGAAGAAGAAAAAGAAGAAGAAGAAGAAGAAGAAGAAGAAATATAAAAAGAAGAAGAAGAAGAAGAAGAAGAAGAAGAAAAAGAAGAAGAGGAAGAAGAAGAAGAAAAGTAAGGATCAGGGGAAAAATCGGCGAAGCGTAGCGATGGAGTGGAATATCTGATTGCTCGCTTCGCGAGGGAAACCGATCGTAACTGATCCGACTAAAGCACGACCTTGAGCAAAATGATCAAGGGGGCGCTGTTACTACTCTTACTAGTCCTCTTCGGTGCCTTCGATGCTCCTGGCATCGGGAGAGTTCGCGTGAGATATCTAGCGAAGGCTGGTAACACCTGTAACGCTTGTAGAATGCACGAGGAGATCAGAGCCCTCAGCCTCGAAGCCATTAAGGAACAAATTTTGAACAAGTTGGGCCTGAAACAAGCTCCGAACATGACGGGCAGAGCTTTGCCAAGAATTCCGCCGATTTCGAAGTTGATGGATATGTATGGGATGCAAGCGGATCAACCGCAACCGCTCGAGCCCGGTATCTCGCATCACGAGGAGATTGACGAATACGCTGCCAAAACGGAGAGCGTCTTTGCCCTGGCGCAACCTCGTAAGTTATAAATCTTTTTCCGACCTTTTCGACGAGTTGCAAAATTTCTTTTGCTCTTTCCTCGAAACCAATTTACCATTTACCACGCGTAGGAAGAAGGGAAAAAAAAAGAAAGAAAAAGAGCGAGAGAATGAAAGATACATACGTCGTTTTCACTCTACGAAGTTATATCGGAGTTCGTAGTTGCAACGATTACGCGCTGTACACATGTTGCAGCTGGCTGCTGTGTTTTTCCTTGGCAACAGTAACCGAATTAACCTTTCCAACCCAACGAACCGTTCGTTTTGTTGATCCGTGATCGCGTAAGCCGCAATTTGTAACATTGTAGTTTAAATTGAAACGCACTCGGCTGCAATCGTTTGCTTGATTAAACTGAAATACGAAAATTATGTAACTTGCTCGTGAGCTTGCCTATTGAAGATAGTTGACGAGCAAAACTCGTAACGAGATTAGCTTTCTTCGCGTAAAGAGAGACTAGTTGTTGCGCGAATAGTGTCATAACGTTTCGTTCGGTCTAACTAAATTTGCTGTCCGATCGTATCGTTTTCTCTGGTAGAAAAATATTTTTCAGATTTGCTCGCATGCTTCGCCACTACCGCGAGTTCCAATTGGCAGCCCGGGCATCGATTTGAAATTCGATCTTGTCTTTTGGTTTCCAGGGTCGGTCACGGGACGATATTGAAATTTATCGAATTTTTCTCTCTTCTTTTTGTTTTCTTCTCTTTTCTTTTTTGTTTCAGCAGTTTGTAAATCGCAGCTACTTCAGGTGCGAATAAATTTCTCATAGATCTCTTATGCTCAACCGCTTTTCTTATGCTCAACCGCTTTGGTTAAGCGTAAATCGAATTCGGTCATCTTTGCGATCTACATATGTACGTTGTCTTTCTTTTTTTTTTATTTCCTCTCGTTACGATTCCATAATCTACATATACAGAGACGACGACGTCCACTATGCCCGAAGAACAAAGTTGCAAGACAGAAAAGACGGGTTAAGAGTACATAACGCGAGAGATAGAATTTTCGAGACAAAGTTATCTTTAGTTTTCGACGTATAGCACGTAATAGATCTCCCCCCCCCCCCCCCGCGCTTCCTCTCCACGTTTCCCACTTTTTCCCCTCCATCTCTGTCTGCCTCGTCTCGTTTTCGAAAGAAATCCAAGACTTTCTTCGAAAAGCAAAAATCCAATCACGAGAAGCACGAAGCCGATCATTTTCGAGTGATTTTATGGTCGATTGATCTATGACGGTCGTCGTGGTCGGTTGACAGGATTCGCGCGAAACGTAACAGGCTGTGTCTCGCAGCACGTATAATTAGCGAGGTGTCTCGTATCTTGTGATTACAGGTGCTTACGGAGAACTTTTAAGCGTGCCATTATTGTATTATCGCGTAATTATAGAGCGATTGTCGGTAGAAGATCGAGAGAAATGACCCGTTAGCGATACTCGGCTGGCCACCCCGGCTGCTATTATACGACCAAATTTTTGTCCGGATAATCGTAAAAATAAGCTCGTTCGTTTGTTAACCCGTTTATCTGCGATGCACCGTAAAATTCCGTTTCTTCGCTTTTTTTCCCTCTTTTTCTTCTCTCGCGAGCATCATGTGATCAAAGTAGGTGGTCTTTTTAAACGCCATCGATAATCTTCACCGCGAGATCGTAACTATCGGTTTGCCCTTAATCACTATAGGTTTCGATTTAAACACGGTGTAATAATACGTAATGGAATGAGCTCGGAATAACCCGTGGCTCGTAGATTCGGATCTCCTTTTAGATATTCGAAATCTATCGCGAGAAAATATCGTTATGACTAGAAGTATTCGCGTTTTGAAAGTCACGTCCGTGTTTTTGCGTAATCGGTACGATTAGCGGGCGAAACGATCTTAATAAAAGTACATAATCAACCAGCGATAGTCGTATACGTACATGCATACATATATGAATAAGTATGTTGAAATAAAAGTGATACGATAAATGTTCCGAAGCGTGTGACTCGTCTCGCGTGAAAATGCCATTGCCTGGCTCCTCTCTCTCTCTCTCTCTCTCTCTCT